TTGGCAGGAGAAAAACTCCCGTGATTTTTGAACAATGTTTCAAGAGAGAAAAAAACCATGAAATTTGATACAATTTTAAATCGGACGAATGTGTGAATGAAAGTGATGGAAAGTTGTTGAAAAATATATGAGCACAGCACAATTCTTTTCTGTCTATTTTTTCTTCGCGTATTTATTGCGTCCCTTTCGTCGTTTGCCACCGGTTGATTTTTGTGTCGTTTTCTTGTTATACATTTTATTTCCACGGTTGCCATTTCCACCCAGACTATTTACCGATTTTCGTGGTGTTGGCAATTGTTGTGCTACCAATTCGGCTAAAATTCCTCGTTGCGCAAGCATCGATAAAAATGTACAAATAAACTCGTCATAATTGTGGGTTCGACGACAGTCATCAACCTGGATTCATAAATTGAGAAAAAAAGGCGATAAAACTCAATTGGTAATTGAAAGTTTAAATTGATTAGCACTAACTTTGAACATATAACGTTTGTCATTTTCATCGTTCAAATGTTGTTCGTTCAGTGCGATTTCGGCTTCCAAATTTTTCAACAATGAACTCAGATCTTTGATTGTAAATGCATTGTCTAATGATTGTTTGGGTGATAAAGGCGTTTCTTCTATTACAGATTCATCCAATGTGCTTGTCGTCCCTTGTCCGCTCTGTAAAGTCAAGAGGTATTTTCCAGAGTATTTGTGTAATTTTACCAGAAAAAATTATGTTTGAAAACTAATTGATTGAAGTTAAATGATGATTACCGTTGAATCGCTATGGAGTGAAAGTCGCTGTAGAATATTCATATCGGATGAATCTTTGATATCAGGCTTTTTATCCGCATCTAGACTGTCATTTTCTTTTTTCACTAAGTCCGTTGCCACTGGCTTAATATCTTTTTTCGTGTCATCCGGATCGATGGGCTCTTTTTTCACTTCAACATTGCTCGTTGAAGGGGCTAAATGCGGTGATTTGGCTGTGATTAATTTCTCTAGGGCCGCCGTTACGATTGTCTTGTTCGTTCGAAGCATTTTGAGCTTGTGTGTGATTGCTATTCTTCGGTCGGGCACAACGGCCATCAGATTGAAACGAATATCTTGTTCGCCGGTTGAGATTCCTAAACGCTCTTCCATTGTACATCGAAATTTATCCGTCCAATCTTCCTGTTCTTTCCATGGCCCATGATTCATTGGAAACGGTTTTAGTCCATCCAATTCGAACAGATGCCCATCGATGGGTACAAAACTAACAAAATGAAATGCTTCTCCTGTAAATCGTCCCGTACTAATTCCGCTACTTTTGTCTAAACGCCGTTTTGCCTGTGACATTGCATGTGAATTATGTGCACACGCTAATTCGGGTGTGTTTCCAATTGCCCATCCTTTATTCTCTGGACTCATGCCTTTTGTATGTGTTTTCAATCGACTCAGCGTTTCACCCAATGGCAAATCTGCACAATTTAACAACACCGACAGTAACGCGTGTGTCGCACAACTATTTGGAACTAAAATTAATTCAAAATCGATTATCTTTGTTTTCGGCAAAAATAAAGCAGAATGGAAGCAAAATCAACGAGAAACAATGCAGCATCGAACTCACCAACTTGTTGTGCAAAGAAAATACTGTTTACTTTCTCCTCATCCTTGACAAAGATCTCCGCTGCATTCTCGACCACTTTTCGGCGCGCTCTTCTCTCTTCCGTCCAACGAAACAAGAATATGAATCTACATTTGATGCAGAGGGAAAAAAGTTATCAATACGAATTCATTTGAATTTTTTATTCATCGTTTGTCTTACCCATAAACAGGTCCTTCGATAGCCTTATGTAAATCATAGATTTCCTCCACTTGAACACCTTTCACACCGAAATCTTCCAGCAATAGTGTGAATAAGCCCGGATCACTTTCTAACTCAAGCCAACCATCGGTCAAGCGATTTATATCGGTTGGCATTTTACAATTTAAAAACAAAAATCCACAAACACAATCCGATCAATTGTTATATCGAATTTTGAGTTAGTTTATAATGCACACTTGTCAACAATAAAAAAAAAATCATATTACATCGCTTGACAGATATGGTTTCAGAGGCAATACTTTGATGCGCGGTAAGTACATTAAGTACAACGATGCTTTCCATATTCAAACAGTCGTTGTAATTTTGACAAAATGGTATGAATGATCTTGTGTATTTTTGTTTTCAATTAAAAAAAAAAAAAAAGATTTTTCTCTTTTAATTTGATACTTTTCTTCAATTTGCAATATCAACAATTTTGATTGCATTTCATCGCTTTAATCCCTCTCGTTATCCAGCAGCTGTGCGTACAGCGTGAAGTTGGCAGCTTGTGTGTCGCATCAGTATTTCGTTTTTAAAAGTAGTTTAAACATCTGAATGATACAAACCGTCATTCACAATCAACGTTTGTGCATCGCATCAAACATCGTTCATACGTTCATCGTTTTATATTTTGTTTGTTCATTGTGTTTTAGTTTATTTTTATTATTTTACCATTATTTCTCGTAATTGATCTGTAGCTGTTTTGTTTTTTTTCGTCGAAATTTCAAACTCAATCACGTGATACAACTGATTAGAATCGATCTATTTGAGAAATATTGACGGAATATGAGTGCATTCGAGGTGAGCAAATTATTTAGGTGTTGCATTACATTTTTGCATAAATGGCGTGTCATTGCGATTGAGTGTTGATTTTAAATTACATGTGTTGATTGAGAATTCAATTTCTTCTGTAAAATTCATGTGCGCAAAAAAAAAAAATATTCGGCTATACCAACACGACATGGGCGCATTTGATTCAAGCAGAGCATAACACCCATTCAGCTTTTTTTTTTCGTGTGTGATGATGCATATTCATTGTGATAATAATCCAATTTGTTGACAACGCAATTGTGACTGGAAGCGATTTAATTTCACAACATTGATCAAAATATCGATAGCAAAAATTTCGTTTGTTTAACATTTGCCATAGCAGCAGCAGCTTGTTGACAATGGAAAGTGACATAATTTGCTCGGCTTGTGTGTCGTGCCAGAAATCAATTAATGGTGTGATTGTAAGACGAATGGAATTTCTTTATATTCCTTGTCTCTGCAACTCATTTAAAAGGACGCGCTCATTCTTCCGAATCGCAACCATTTTGAGTGTTCCCCCCATTCAATTGGCAATGCTTATGATTCGGTTGACATTCAAATGTTGATTATTTGTATTTTCCTTCATACTTGGAATTGATTGCTTGTGTTTTCGTTTTGTTTCATTTTGAAAATTTAGGTTGCAGTCACGCCACCACGCATTAGGAATGCACAGAAGGTATCGGCGTCTCGTGAGCCAACCGATGTTGTGCTTGGTTTATTTTCGGCAAAATCAATTGTCACATTCGAAGACATCCCCGTTACAAAAACAGCACGACGCACACTTCACATACACAATCCAACGGATGATGTGCTGAAGGTAAGCCAAGTTTTTTTTTTTTGATGTTGCCATTTTCTGAATTCGAAATATTTCAAATTTTAGACTATTTCATGTTCACCTTGTGTATTTAAGTGACATTTTATTGCTCGATTCACAGGTGTTGGTAACGAGAACAGTAAATCCGATAGCAAATGCGCAATTGGAATGGACATCAAACGAGATACCAGGTCGTGGTCACATTTCAATGGACATCGTATGGAATCCAACGGTCGTTTGGTCTACACGAGAAATCATTCAATTCACTGACAATCGTAATTTTAAAAAAGACGTCGCTGTTATTCTGAAATCAATTGACAAAAAACAAAATTCGAAGACTACGCTTAAGAAGTCATTAGGTATTAAGGCCGGAGAAAGAGTGATCACAAAGAAATTAGCATTGAAATCACCATCGCCACGAACAAAGTCACAGCGAAGCCGGCTCAGCACATTGGCCGCCGTGAATTGTGTTAACAATAAGAAGGAGCTGCCCATGAATGCTGTGGTCGACCAGCAGAAGAAGGTACTAGGAATGAATAATCAGTCGAATGGTTTTCCCAACGTGTCAATTTACACAGCGCCGCAGATAATCGAAAAGGAAAACATGAAGCCACAATCACCGCCGAATATGTCCACAGTGTTGGATGCGCTCAAATTCACGCCAGCTGGCAAAAGCGCGCACAACACATCAAACACGGACTATTTGGCATCTCTGCCGACGCCAAACTCGCATTTGGAAAAGAATCAATCGTATTGCGTTCCGTCGGCGCATATTTATCAAAATCTCAATGAAACGGAAACGATAATGTCGACACCGCTCAAAGTCAACGATCTGACCACCGTTCTTGGCAGTTTTCAAACGCCCATCGATCGCACCGAGGTGAATCATACACGGTATTTTGACAATGCTTATGATCGTGATCAATTTGCTATGCAAAAAACGCCAGCATTCAATGAAGTGCCAAGTTTTCACTTTCATTTGGACGAAGCGCCGTCATCAACAGCTGATATGTTTGCTGTCCCGAATCGCAAACTAAACCTAGATATTCCGAATGTCTCACCGCACAACAATAACGACAAATCGCTTATAACAAATCGAACACAGACACTTTCATCGCCGATTGGCATTCCGAAGCTGTCAATCATCGAAGAGGAACAATCGAAAATTGAAATGAGCGAAACGTATGTGAAGCCAAACGAGCATCATCTCACGTACAATGTGGAGGAGGAAAAGTTACAGCCAACCGAGAATCTGGTGCGGGATATACGCTTGATTTCAACACCGTTGAGCAAAAAATACCTTTCGATGAAAGAGTTAACCGACAGCAACTTGAGTTTGGAGCAGAAATTTTTGAAAATAAACCAAGGTTCAATGCCAAATTTGCATAAACTCGAAGCCGTCAAATCGATTGAAAACAATCGCTACTTCTATCAGAGCATAGAAAAGGATTTACAAGAAACGGAAAATGCTCGGAACGGCGATGAAGAGCACAACGAAAACCTGTGCGACACCAGCATAACTAGTATATGCTCAGTGCAAAGCACAGTGAGCACACTATCGGTAGCATTTCATGAGCACGAAATTCAAGCGCAATCCAGTCGTCTTAATTTGAATGAAATCGGCCAAAATAAAGTGGCAGAACCACAACCGACCAATTTGTGTTTCATCATTGACAAACCAACACCGAAAGCGACGAGTGGCATGAGTCGATTTAAAACATCAAATAAATACTTGTCTGCATCATCGCCGAATGTAAACAAGGTGTTTGAAAAGCCAAAACTATCTTCACAATCGATTAGAGACATCAGTTCATCGGCGAAGAGCCGGCCATCGGTTATTGCATACGCTAACAGCAATCGAAGCGCACTGAACAACTCATCCGCGCTGAAGAAGCGAACACGGGACGACAAATTGAACTCATCATCGAAATCGCTCAACAAGCTATCGCCACCCAAGCGAGTTTGCATTGAACCTGAATCACCGAAAACAAAAGGACAAGCATTTCGCACGAAAACATGGGGCGGCATTATGCCAAAGAAATTCCGTATACCAAGCATACCACCACAACGTTTGCAATTAAAACGGCCCGAAGAAGAACGAGTCTTTCTCTACGATCCCGAATTGCACATGAGAAGTAAGTACAATCACAACAAATCAAAGCAAAAAAAACCTCATCCTAATTTAACCATTTATAGTAACGTAAAAATTCTTCCGAGAAATAAAACGCGAACAAATAAAAGCTTTGAACGAAAAATGAGTTGTTTGCACGAACATTTAGTAGACAGGGAAGTTTAAACGGTTATATATCGTGTAAACAAATTCAACAGAAAAAAAACCTCAAGACCTTGATTGACATCGGTAATATTTTTGTTCACCCCTTCGATGCTTTAGTTTTTTAGTTGTCACGAACGAAATTCAGTTCAACGTTTGATGTTGACATGAAAAATGCTCAACATATGTTCATTGCGTGGTTAACGCTTAAACGTTTTGCTGATGCGATTATTCAAAAGGGGGAAAAAACTAGCAGCAGCAGAAAAGAATTGTCGGGTCGCATTTTTCAAGTTTATTAAATCGATGCAACATCAAAGTGGGGTTGGCTATAAAAAAAAAATCAAGCAAATTGTTCATTTTGGTTTTTATTGTTTCTCTCGTTGTTTTTTTTTCATTCGCCTCGAATATTTATTTAGAAGAATGTTTTTATTTTTTTTATTTTGAGTGCTGACCTAACTAACGAAACAATTTCTTGTGGTGATAATTTCCAGGCGTTATAAATCCGGATCCATTTGCCGCAACCACAACCTTAGATCCATTTTTGTCGCTCACAATGTACTTGGATGAACGAGCCGTTGACAAACATGAGATCCAATTTAAGAAGTGGTTAAATGCATTGGTTACCATTCCTGGTGAGATGGATGAAAGTGCCAATCAGCCGGCCGATGTGGCGAAACTATTCAATGAGGTGCAAAACAAGGATTGCACATTGGCACCAACCAAGGAAATGGTTTCATCGAATTATCTGACCAAATACCGTTTGGCCAGCCTACGTACGGCTGCAATTCAGTTGATTTTGAGTCCAGAGATGCAAGAAAAACTGGGAAAATTAGCGGTACATGTGGAGAAAAAACTGATTCAAATTCGTCAAGATCGAAATTTACACTTGGATGTGGTTTTGCAACGCTCAATCTTAGAGTTGCTGCTGAAATTCAATCCGCTTTGGTTACGCATTGGACTGGAGGCAGTATTCGGCGAATCGATTCCAATGCACAACAATCATGACATGGTTGCGCTCAGCTCATTCATACTGAATCGACTGTTTCGTGATCGATATTTGGAATCGAAACATCCAAAAGTCTATGCACAAGGCGATGTATATGGCGATCACATCAAAAAGCACACACTCAAGAAAATGATAAGCTTGTTGTACTTTTTGGATGTGGCGAAAAATAAGAAAATCATCAAACACAATCCATGCCTGTTTTTAAAATCTTCCGAATTCAAAGAGACCAAAGAGATTCTGTTGCGCTTCTCGTCATCTTTGCTGGGTAACATTGGCGATATACAGCGTGATTTGAAACGCATCGGCATTGTATTGATACACAAGCAAACTTATATCGATGAATTTGATTATGCCTTCCGCAATTTGGCCATCGATTTACGCGATGGCGTTCGCTTGACCAAAGTGATGGAAATTATTTTAATGCGAGATGATTTGACATGTCAATTACGTGTGCCAGCCATTTCACGTACACAACGTGTTCACAATGTAAATTTGGCATTGAATGCACTCCAACAAGCCGATTTTGCTTTGACAGGTAATAATTTTAAATGGAATTTTGGAATATTTTCTTTTGGCATGACATTTTAAAATTATTTTTCTTCTCATGATTTTGAGTAAAAATGTCCATTCAACGATATCAATTTGTGTAATTCCACAGGTAAAATAACCCCAAATGACATTGCTGATGGTCATCGTGAGAAGACATTGTCACTGCTCTGGCAGATCATCTATCAATTCCGCGCACCAAAGTTCCATGCAGCTGCAACGGTCATTCAAATTTGGTGGCGCAAACACTGGTTGGGTGTATGCATTCGACGGCGAATTCGTGCGAAGGTCGAACGCGCTCGAAATCAAGCAGCCACTAAAATTCAAGCAGCATTCCGTGGTTATCTCGGTCGTAAGTATGCCAAACAATACTTGGAGCAACGAACACAGGCTGCCATTACAATTCAACGATATGTTCGTCGTATGATTGCCATCGGGGAGTTTATGATTCGATTCAATTGCATTCTGTTCATTCAACGTTGGTATCGAAATCAAAAGCTCGCCCAAATGCATCGTCAAGAATACTTGAAACTGCGACGTAGCTGCATTACGATTCAAAAGTGGTATCGAAAGATTTTGTTGTCTCGAAGGATTGAGCGATTAGTAGTAGTTGCACGTGAAGTCCAGGAACAGTCCAAGATAACTTATCGAAGTGCCGTTAAAATTCAGCAGAAATTCCGTGGATATTTGCAAATGAAAAGAGAACGCTCAGAATATTTGCAGTTGAAACAAGCCACCGTTACAATTCAAAGACGGTTCCGAGCTCAAATCGAAATGCACAAACAAAAACGGATCTTTGAGCGCCTGGTTGAAGTGATTGTGAATATTCAACAGAAATTTCGAGCAAATTTACAGATGAAAATCGAACGAGCATCATTCGTGGCATTGAAGATATCGACCGTTCGAATTCAAAAGTGGTATCGGGCTTGTCAACAGCGAGATATTCAACGAACCGAATACCTTCGGTTGAAGCAGGCAACTATGGTCGTTCAGAATCGATTCAGAGCTCTTCGTCAAATGCGAACTGAACGGGAACGGTACCTGCGTATACAGAATGCTACTCAGATGATTCAAAGTCGATTCAAAGCCTACAAATTGATGAAAGAGCAGCGCACAACATACTTGGCACTTCGAAAATCAGCAGTTTGCATCCAGAGTCACTACAGAGCGCTCATTGAAATGAGAAATGAACGTGAAAAGTATGTGCAATTAAAGAAATCGGTGATTGTAGTGCAACAACGGTACCGAGCAAATATGTTGGCTAGAGCAACACAAAATGAATATCAAAAGAAACGAGCGGCGGTGCTTTGCATTCAACAGCGATTACGAGCACAGAATGCCATGCTGAAGCAACGTCAGGAATACTTACAATTGCGCTGGAGTGTTATTGTGATCCAAAAAAAGGTTCGAGCAACAATTTTGATGAAGAAAACTCGATTAGAATATCAAATTCTCGTGAAGAGTGCCATTGTTCTTCAGAGCCGTGTCCGTGCAAATCGTTTGGCAGCACAAGAACAAGCCTTCTATCAACAGCTCAAAATGGCCACCATCAAAGTGCAACAACGTTTCCGAGCCAATCGGGCAATGAAGTCCGCTCAGTTTGAGTTCAATCGACTAAAAAAGGCAGCAATTTGTATACAAAAACAGTTCCGCGCAAACCGGTTAATGAAAATGAAAGCTGATGAATTTGCACAATTGAAATCGGCAGCTATTATCATTCAACGTAGGTTCCGCGCTCAACGCGCCAAGCAAATACAACAAATGGAATACAATGCCACACGCAATGCAATCATCGCCATTCAACGGCAATTCCGTGCAAATGTTCTGATGAAAAAGCAACGCACGGAGTTCATGAAAATGAAAGAGGCAGCTATTTGCATTCAATATCGTCTTCGAGCCACACTGCTAATGCGTCGAGAGCGCAGTGAGTATTTGTTGAAAAGATCAAGTGCCATTTACATTCAACGTTGTTATCATGATCTGATCGAAACACGGCATCAACGAGTACGATTTTTGATAATGCGTCGTTCCATTGTCAACATTCAACGGTTCTTCCGCGGATACCTAGAAACGAAGCGTCAACGACAAGAGTTCTTAGCCCTTCGTTCGGCTGCCGTCACAATTCAACAACATTTCCGGGCCCAACAAGAAATGTTACACGCTCGCGAGCAATACCAAATAGCCCGGACAGCAGCAATAAAAATCCAAATCCACTTCCGTTCATATACGCTGATGAAGCGTCAGCGTGAAGAGTTTGTTAAATTGCATGCAGCCACCGTATGCCTCCAACAACGTTTCCGGGCGCAGTTACTGATGCGAAAACAACGAACCGACTATCTCCGGTTACAGTACAATGTGATTTTAATGCAACGCCGGTATCGCGCCAAATTGCTTATGAAGAAGATTCAGGCTCAGTACAAATTGTTGAAATGTTTGGTCATTTGCATTCAAAGGAAGTTCCGTGCACTCATCGTAATGCGAGAGGAACGAGCGAATTTTTTACGTTTAAAATGGGCCGCCGTTGTTATACAGCAAAAAATTCGGGCAAAATTAACGGCACGAAGAGACCAAAAGAGATTTCAACGCCTCCAAGAAATTGCAGTTGGTTTGCAAGCACATATTCGTGGTTACTTGGCTCGCAAACATTTCAAATCATTAATGACACCCGAATTGGTTGAGAAAAGACGACAAAACAAGGCAGCCAAGAAGATTCAATCGTTTTGGCGCGGTTATCGCATTCGCAAAACACGTTCGCCCATGCTGCGAGACATTTGCGAAAAGGCAAAATACTTACAGAAACATGCACTGCATAAGAACACAGTAGGTCAACGGGTCAAAGGAATTGTCTACTTCTTGAAGTCAAGATTCAATGCCAAGGATGCATACTCAATTCTCAAAGAATTAGGTAAGTGATAATATGTTGTTTTTCATTTCCATTCGATTTTTCTTGCCATCAATCAATTTCATTTTATCATTGCTACTTCATTCTAACTCACCAAATGTTTTTTTTTGTTTCACAATCGAATGAACCTTCACAGAGATCATTTCATTGAACATTCCACACACATTGATCCATGATTCAACGTTCATCGGTAGTTTTTGCTATGGAATTATGTCGCAGGCGATACGATCTGAAGTCGACAAACAGATAATCAGTCTTTGTTGTCGAGTTCTGCTCAATTTGGCACGCTACAAACCGACACAACAAAATGTATTCCAAGTAAGTAGGAAGTAATTTTTAAGTTTGTTGTTCTCTTCGATGTTTTTCTCTCTCCCTCCCCGAAAAATGGTGAATAGATAAAAAAAAGGAACAACTCAAGCTGAAATATAAATTAATTTCGCTTTCAAATTAGATTCATCATTTTGAGACGGTTGCTCAAATACTGTACCGATGGTGTGACAAGGACTGTGATATATTCAACGTACTCTGCACGGTTCTGTACGTATTCATTCAATGTCCAACAATCAATAAGGTAATTAAATTGTTAAACGGCAATGGGAAATGTACAGACCAACTTTAATTAATCGAATGTTTTGTGTGTGCATTGCTTCATTTGCAGCAAATGCGAGATTTTATGGTGACTCGTGAGGCGATTTTCTTGCTTCGTGAAGCAAAAAAATTGGTTGCTCGCAAAGAGCGAATGCGAAGCATTACACCGCCCGCATGGATGCCAGTGCTGACGCCAAAAGAGAAGCGAACGCTGCCAATGCTCGAAACCAATTTCGGTGTTCGATCATCAAAGAATTACATGTTTAACTGCTCCATTTTTGGTTTAGACACAATCTTGAGCCAAATGAATATAATCACTTAATTTTGTTGTGAATTAGATAACGGTTTAACGGTTCAAAAGTTATGACAGCAGTTGTGATATCTCATTTCGAACTGTTCCAACGATAATTATGTCTTTCAATTCGTTTAGATATTAATTATAATTTAATTGCTTAAGATTAGTTAGGACTTTACTTAGATGTAAGAAGTCAGCATGAAAAAAAATTAAATGTCTCGTTGATTAGCCATAATGATGGATTTTAAATTCTTTCAGAAGAGAAGAAAAACGCAAGAGTGATTCAGAATTATGATATAAATGTACGAATACACTCGCAGAAACTTACATACAATTGCGCACAGTTGAAAGAATAAAAGAATTTGTTTTGTTTTTCGATCAATTTACAAAGAAATAAAATGAATTTTTGCATATATATTTGTTCGCCATTATTCTTTGTTCTCATTTTCCACCAGTTTATATAATTTAATATATTATTTTCTGTTTTCTTTCTTTCTTCGTCTTCTTGTTTAAATTCAGTTCAAACTCAGGATAATAATTTGGAAAGGAAATTTCTAATTTTAATTCTATACAATAATAAAATGTGGATCATATACATTGTTTGGTTTTCTTTTAAAGGAATTAAAAATCAAATCAAAGAGATAAACAATTCAATTGCGAAAAAAAAAATCGAATTGCATAATTTGTTCTGAATGGAAAACTTAAATGCATGTCACAATAAAATATTTTTTTTTCCATTAATTTGTGCTTTAAATCTTCAATGTTTATTATTACATTCATTTATGAAATATGAGCTTTTTATGAGTAGATAATTTTTTGGATAAATTTTTTCTTTGATAAAATGAAAATTGGAATATGCTATGTGATATTTGGTTTTGATTTAACGAGTGTTCTATTTTCTTTCTCTCTTTCTCTCTCTCATCTCTGTCCCACGTCTCTTGTTAGAATCCTCTGGATTTTTTGATAATTTGGTATGTTTTACATAGATTCATGAGTACATGCACACACATTAAAAACTAATTTGATTTTTTGGGGTTTGTGTAATTTTTTTTTACGCTTTCTTCTGCGATTATTGAGCATCTTATCGGTTGTTCCATTTATATTAATAGGATATATTTTGTCGGTTGGTTTATGTTCACAAATCGGTTTGCATTCATATATCAATACACATTTGTTTTGTTGTATATGATTTTTTTTTTGCTTTTTCATGTCTTTTTGTATGAATAAATAAATAAGATATTTAATTATCTAAAACTTGTCATTTAAATAGTAGATTTTTATTTATTTTATTTCATCAGAATTCAGATACATATGCTTATTTTTATACATTTACAATTTCCAACATGTTAAATTCATATAAAATTTGTTTGAGGAGCCAGCTTATTGCAATTGTTATCAACGTTATTCGGTGGTTGGTTGGTGTACTAACAGAATCATTTCAGTTTTCTATCGTTTATTATTTGGGAGAACAAAATCGTTTTTGTACAGATAACAACCATTTGTGGAATATTTCAAGGAGGAGAAAAAAACGGATTGAATTACATCGGTTGGATGAAGGAAATTTGTTTGGAGGGTTAGGTTGTATTTGAATTGAGGCGAAAAGATTTTCAGCTTAGAGCATTTAACATTTAAATTATTAAAATTTTATTTCAGAATTAAACAATACACATATGCGATAGCAATAGAGTAAGATAAACAAGTTGAATTGAAACTAAAAGGTAGGCGGCATTGTGACGCTAGGAAACATTTGAAAACGGAATCGCAATCCAGGAAATGTGGAAAGAGTCCGCGCTATCAAGGAAGTTATATGAGAATATGATGTGAGTGTCTGAGCATTGGGGCCTTTCACAGTGGTGCATTTGCATGTTGAGATTTTGGCGCAAGGGCAATAAAAATAGATTAACTAAACAATTCGATACGCCTTCTCTCTCTTTATCTCTGTTCAATGGCGAGCTTCTCTCTCTCTCTCTCTCTCTCTCTTATTTCGCTGTTTTATAATCCTACACATCAGATTTGACTGATTGACTGGGGAAGGTGGTCAATTAACGACCTAAACCAAAATTGTAGCGTTGTGCGCCCGATCTTCGTTCAACATTATTTTCCTGTAGCAAGCGTTTTCCAAGTCCAACCGATACAGCTCCTCGCGATGCTCGAACTGAATTTTGCGAATGAAAATGTATGAGAATTGATTAGACAAAAATCCGAGAGTGAGATTTGAATTTTTGTTTGTTTGTTTTGCTTTGCTTTATTTTCTTTTTGGTTTTTCATTGATTCTAGTGATTTGTCGAAAACATACTTCGGTCATATCCATCATTAATGTAGTTTGATTGATCGATTGGGGCTGAAGTTGATGTATCCTCTTCAATAGCAGGAGCAGCCCGTTTACCCAAACCGAACCCGTACAAACTGTCATTCAAAATGAAGATTAAAAAAATTAGTTAGCGAAAACCATTCGCAAATAACAGAATCTTAGAACAAAAAAAAAGTCCGACTCAAAGAAAGAAATGAAAGCTAACAATAATTTCAATAAATTTGAAACGTACCGTTCTGGCGGCGATCGTCTTTCCATATTATCAGTCTGAGATAGTCGTTTGCCGAGACCCATATTGTATCTGGATCTTTGATCTGTTTGGGAAGAAATTTCCTTATTCACTTCTCCATATCGACATTTTATATTTGAAAAGTTTTCTAGTTTTTTTTATCTTTTTCAATGTGAAAAGTTTACTGCGAAAGAAACAACAACAACAAACCTCGTTCAAACCACGACCTCCAGTTTTGTTGGTCAGCAAGAAGTGGGGCATCGTCATAGTCCATGTCTGGGTCTGAGCGTTTTCCCAAGCCGAATCTGTATGGCCTACTTTTTATTGACATTTTGAGTAAGAAACAAATAACCCATGATTAGTTATCATTGGAGTTTAAATTTTCAAATGTAACACAAATAATTGTCACTAAAAGTCTATCTACCTGGCACGTTTTCCTAAGCCAAAGTTGTAATTGGGCAGTCGTTTACTGCCCGGGACGCCAGTCATATATGTATACGCTCGTCGTTCCATTCGCTTAAGAAAACTATCTTTGTCAACATCCGTTGCTAGGCCATCAAAATCGAGTGCATTTGATTCGTATGCCTGTTCGCACTTGCTTACGGTTACAATATATCCAAGTAAAATAATTGAAATGGCAATTGAACGCATTTTGTTTGTAGTCTTCTTTTGTTCGGATGTGTCCGTGAGTTCTGCTCAACAAATGTTTGCTCCCCCAAACTGGATGGTAAACCTAATGAAAAACAATGAAACAATATAAAGAAAATCGTTAAACTTTTGTGAAATTAATGATTAGAAAGATGAAATGGAGCGATTTTGTTAATTTTTGGAATTTAAATTTGCCATAAGACATTAGCAACAGTTATTTCCAATGTATCTAATTGGTTTTATATAGCAGTTGAGTGTTTTCATTAAATTGATTTTGAACTTGTATTTCACCAACTTTTATATGTCCATTTATGGAAACACTATTACTGAAACTCACATTACCATATAAGGCAATGCTGTTTAACCCATTTTAACACTACTCAGATTGTATATAAGAAGTACAAGAGCACAAATGAATCAGTCTAAAGAACAACAGTTTCGGCATGTCAATATCAATTTGAATTTGAATTGATTTGTTCGGAATCGGGTTTCAGTCATGTATGAAATAATTCTATGATTCGTTCGACCTTTGTATTTTTAGAGTCTGAACTTTTCGCTCATTTTTCGCCTGTTTATTATTCATTCCGTGCGTACATTGAAGTGCTTTTTTCTATATCACCCAGTGAAACGACATAACAAAAACATTCATTCATTTATTGGAATGAATGAAAAAGTTTTCGTGCAAAATACACGCATGATTCAATGGCATGAAATTGAGATGTGTGCTTGCAATTCAATTATTAGTTTTACGAAACTTTTTCGACCGTTTATTTGGGTAGGCATCGATTGCGTCTCTCTCCCTTTCTCCGTCTTCCTCAATATCTCAATCATCGATTGCATTATCTGTTGGCGGCTCATTTTCAGAATACTGTTTGCTTACTATCCGATGTTTGATTGGCATGGTTTTGTGACTGGCATCGCTTTCATGCAAACAAAATCGCAGCCAGATTAAAATTATGATGGCGGTGGTGATGTTTTTCTTTGTCAAACACATATTTCATATTTAGATGTGACAAACCACGTATTTCGCATTCACATGCTCGAAAAATCGAATTATAAATTATCGCAGCGAATATTTTTTTTTCTCTTCTTCTTAACTTTCTTCTTTTTATTTTCGTTGAAAGTAAATTACAAAGTAGATCGTAGATACGTCAGCATGTTGAAGAATGTTCACATATCAGGCAAAGACGATGAAAAAAAAACTGAAAACGAAACTTGGTGGTCGGAAAAGTGAATCATAAGGATACCTCAAGTAATGAAAATACTGCACGTTCCGGTTTTTACGACATAAATTTGGTGTGCACTTATTCATTTCCATGAAATTTTATTCCATGTGCTTTGAATTTATCGTGGGAGTGAAAATATCAATATACGTAATACGTACTAGTATAGTACGATGAAGGTAAAAAAAAAGACTGCACGTACCAATCCACTCGAGAATAGTATAACGATGTATTTTTTTATTAATCGAAAATTATGTGAAAATTGGGTAAACCTTGATGTTTTAGGCTGAAAATGCTGTTTTCAACCGCTTTCATCATTATGTAACAACGAGTCAAATGCGATTGAAGCCGAACCTAATCAAAAACCAATTGACATACTAATTATCTATACGCTTATTTGCTTTTCGATTGAACTTTTCGCTTGATTTCAGGCCGACCCGGCCGACAGACATTAGTTCGACATCATGTTGAGAGACCCATTTCAGCCAAACACACACAACTCCACATAAAATGTACCGATACGTCGATATCATCATCGAAATTCCATCGCTCTCTATTGCTATATCTGTCTTTTTTCTTTCTTTTATTGACTCTTATTAATTATTCTATTGAATTATTTTTGGCATGCTATCACAAACTCCAATTACTTTGGGATCAAACGCTTCATTTTTCGTCCAAAGAAGTTATTTTTTCCCGAAATTCATGTTTATTCTTTGGAAAATTTGATTTTAAGTCAATAGTAATAGTTCTCGTTTGAATCGAATTTTTCTTGCCGAAGGTCCGGCATCTAAGCGTCTGACAGCTCACTTCTAGCGCTACGAAACAATTGTCAAAAGTTGTGATTCAGATCGTTCAATGTACTATTGAATCTTTTTTATATTTGTTAATAAATTAAACAAAATAAATAAATAAAAATGTCACGAATGTGCATAATTGATTTTTGTGAGAGCGTAGCACGTGATAAACATCAATTTTATAAGTAAAAAATTTTTTTTTCATTACGGAACATTGTTGATGCGTTCAATTTATCGCGTTCATGAGTGCGTCTAACGACGTAAAGAATTGAAATGAACTTCACTGAATGCGCTCATCGCAAATTCGTGTTCATGGGTATTGAATGTTATTCAACGCAACTAAGCTGTAGACATCTCTCTCCGGCAATACGGCAAACAACAGAACCAACACTGAACATGAAAATGACATGTTCAATTGTGTTTGTTTCGTTAGTTTCAACTGTGCCGCTACGAGAGGTCACTTTTGTCGTTTCTTGTTGTTATTTTACATGTAAAATCAATGGTATTAGACGAGGATGTTCGTGTTTTACTTTGTTTTGTTAGTGTGGTGCAGGGGTTGCGTTTCTTGCTTTCTGCACTTATTTTCAGTGGAAATGCCATTTGACATGCAATAAGCGTGGGCAGTGTAATACGGCATTCTAGTATGTAACCAAGCCCCAAAATATGTGTGATGGTTTCAACTCGAAAGCCCGCTTTTTCTTCTTCATTTCTTTGATACATTCATGGCACTTCCGGGGCATGGAAGCTTTCAATGTGCTGTTTATGTGCGGCACAACACGTCCAAGCATAATTCAATAGTTTTAGGTGTGAAGAGAAGTTTGGAATCACTTTGATAAAATTAAACTATCCCCTTTAAATGGTTTTGCGAAAAATTATTACGAGATGCGTAAAGTGTATACGACGAACGTTCATTAAGAAGGAAAGAGTAACATCGAAAGTTGCGAAAAACTAAACTTTGATGAAATTTAACCTAATAAAGTATTTCTGCTCCGATTATTGCATAATATTGCGCAATTATAATCATAAAATTACATCGATACTACTGTTTATCTTAGTGATTTTCTGCTCTCTTTTTTGTACTTTTTCATCTTCTTTCCAATAACTTCTTAGAAAAGTCCCACGGTTCGTAAGTCATTTGCTCTCTTTCTCGTACAACTTTTAATAAGTCTAACTGAAGACGATGACGTAAAAAATATCACAATTCATTGATATCAACGTGACCAATACTTTGTATGAAACAACGACAATGTAATAACGTCAACGAGCAAATATATGATCAGCTTTACCTGCAAATTAAGACTGGAGATTTTATTTTACGCAAACACACTTGGAAATGCCAATAAAATCGAAACTTTTGCGTGTTGGGATGTGTTGTTCACATGGATCCCGCGAACGCACAGATCGAAAAAATAGACCGAATAATAACCATTACCGTTTCGTGAACGATAAGTAGCAATGTGTTGGTGAGTGGCCAAGTTGCTTTTATTGCCAATTAGTTAGTATTGAGAATATCGTTTGTAATCATTTTTCCAGCGTTTTCCAGAAAGTCATTCACAAGTTTCATCTACTATGTGCTGACCGAAAATATGTGATTCCGAACTATACGAACATCTGACTCATAGCCTGAGTCAGCCAAAGTAGGAGTAAGATATTTTTAATGAAAAAAAAAAAAAAAATTACATTGGCATTTCATTTAAAAGGGTAGTCAAAATGACCCGTTGCACTTCGTTCACTTGTTAAATCAATTTTCCGTTTCAACAATATGCGCAACCCATTCAAGCATAGTAATCATTACATTTGCTATCGAAATTGCTTTGATCTGTTTCTTCTTTTCGATGACAATCGGGTTTGTGTGTCTTGTACAATGTGTGCGCGCGCGCTCTCCACAATCTCACCCTTCTTCTTAAGGCAAACTTCAGCCAAGCAATAAACTTCCTTTCACGCACCAGGAACAATTGCAAACAGTAATTAAACCCAGGCAGAGAAGGCACTATTTATTACGATGAGAAAATATTTATAAAATCCGATGTGGATTTAATGAAAGATGAAAGTTAAATAAGTATATATTGTCGCCACGTCGTCGTCCAACCACATCACCACAGACACGAAACAATGAACGTCACTCGACCCATGGCAATTTTCAATTACTCAAGCACCCAGCAAATATAAAAAGTATGGATGAAGATAAGAGCGACTAGAGACGATGCACAGTGCTGTGTTATGTACCATATTATTATCGGAGAAACATTTTTCACACAAAACCAAATAAAGCCTTTTCATTATCATGAAAAGTTTGATAAATGAAGGTGGCAGTCAAAAGGTGGAAAATTTAAATAATCGTTTTTTCGAAAACGAAATCATCAAAGGAAAACAAAGTAACTACGAGTAAATGAGAGGCCAAGCAGCCACGTTGGTGGCAAAAGCAATTTCATATGGCATTTCAAGATTTTTCGAAAGATTTAACTTGAAACCGCCACGGTAACCCACCAAAAAAAGAGGAATAATAAGCGTGCCAGATAGGATGTCGTACTAAGCAAATATGCTATTGTGAAATCATTTTTAATAATATTTTTGTCGGTCGAGCAACGTTCAGCCCGTAGTACTGACATGATTTTACATGCATGTCCTGGACATTTTGGATTACCTTCTAGACAGGAACTCTTTGTTCAATATTATTACTTGATATTATTGTTTGTTCCGCATCATCTTAAATCTCTCTCTCTCTCTCTCTCTCTCTCTCTCTCGCTCTCTAATCATTCTACTTCTGAAAATTGTAAGCGCTTGTCGCGTCACAACAATGCATCAGCATCATTTCCCTTTGGTTTTGACAATGGTTTCTGAATTCGAAACCGAATAACCGAGGATACACACAATGGAACATTTGAATCCAAAAATAGATGTTCGCACGAATATCTGAGCACAAGAGGCAGCTGGTGTAATTGCAAAATGCTCTATTGGGAATTCTATGGTTTTTTTGTTTACACTTCTCTCGTTCTTGCAATATAATGGCACCGTGTAAACATCCGGAAAAATACACACCGAGAGCGAGAGAGTCAGCCAGCCACATG